TCAGCAGGATTTACCAGAGACATAACAGCTTGCCAGGGGAACTTCCAAATAGTTATGCTTTGGGGTTATAATGAATTCTAGAAGAGGACAAAATTAAAGAGGTTTAATAAAAGGATATTCTCTGAAAAAGTGAGCAACTTTTCCTTCAGAATTCATTTTGAACAGCACATCAACAAAAAATCTTCTCTGATAATATATCCCAACATTGAGTCAAGATGGCCAACTAGCACCAAGAAGTCGTATTGAACTCAGTTGCAGTTCTCTTGGCAATTAAGCTTATTTTTTCATTCCAGTCTGAGCACAAATGTGGATCACTGAAGACAGTACTGGAAGCGCCATTTGCAGGTAGAGATTGCAGTCATCATTAAATGAGCCAGAAGGTAGAACTGTTTTTATTTTATGGAGGGGACTTGACTGGGTAGTACTAGTAGGAGATGAAATGAAATGATTAGTGAACAATGAGGTTATAAGAAAAAGATCACTGCCCTTATTTGGGTTCAACAGGTCATGTCCAGAAGATGGTTATTTAAGATAAAGATGCTACTTATGTGCAGCATGAATACATTAGAATCCAGCTGCACCCAACTAAGGGAAAAAAAAAAAAGAATTCCCTAAGTAACCTTTAAAAGCATGTGTTACTTGCCAGTCACAGAGGGGAAAAGCACCTAGGGTGAACTCCAATTTAATAAGGACCTTGATCAGGACCACAAAGCCTGAAACATTTGTTTTAATGCAGAAACACAGCCTCTAGTCACACTGGTTAAGTTTGGGAAAATCAGAGGGCTTTTTTTTTTCTATTTGTTTTTAACTTGTTTATTGAATTACAGGATACGGTTTCGATCACTAAGGATTCTAAATCTTCATACCAGCATTAGAATTGAACCACTTCCAAATCCTAAGACACATAAGACCAAAGAGAAGCAACAGCCATACAAATTAATATGTGCCCCTCTCCTTTTTGCTCTAAGGGAATCTTCAAACCAGTATCACATTTAAGAGTCAAAGTGTTAATTCTTCAGCATTCCTGACAACTAGAAAGCACATTCACTGAAGGCTGAAGGTGAGGGAGCGGATGGTTGAATATCTGTGGAGAATGGCGCCAACAGAGGAAAGAAAACCATCCAATCTCAGTAAGGATTAATGCAAATTTGGCTAGAAAAAGCCACCAGGTAATCCAAGGGTTCACTGTGGAAGAACTCATGAAAAGTACTCTGAAGTACACAACAGGTCTAAACATCTCCCTTGTTGAAAGTAGTTGTGTGAAATTCAAGATAAAGGTTTAGTCTCATCTTTTAATGTATTTTTTCCCACATTAAAGGGAATGAGGAGTCCTCTTTTTTCCCCCAGAAAAAAAAAAAAGGGAGCCACATTATTATGTGTATATTCCCATGACTCTATAATATATAAGTGCGGATCTCCACAGCCTAGGGGTTTTCCATAAGAGAGCGGGCCGTTCTGGTTACCCTTTTATTAGAAGGGTATTCCACCACAGAGAGCCAGAGGTTTTCCAGATGTGTGTAAGAGAGCAGGTGCGCAAGGCAAGCAAATGAGCGCAAACAGTATTATGGAAAACATTTGAGAAGTTAGCTCCATGAGGACTGTGGGCTCCACAAGAGGACTCGACTGGGTAGCCTGGTCTGACACGGGGACATGAAAGCAGAGTATTGCTTCAAAGCTGGAAACCTTCCATAGGTGCCTCACACTGCTGGAAGATGTACTGCTGCTGGCTAAGGTCAACCTGGGGGGCAATGCTGCTGTCTTCATCCTCGGTCCCGAAGTAATGCTCAATGAGATCAAAGGCCTTCTGGTAGATCTCTTGGTTTTCATGACTCTGTAAGAATTCAATTTTATCCAGACCTAGAATGAAGAATTTAAAAAAAAATCTGTTGTATATATGTTGGAAATTCTAATAAAACTATATTTTGCCATGTCTCTTTCCTTGACATAAAAGGAAGATTCTCTATATCTCATAAGCATCTTGCAGCAACATAGAAAACACTGCTGGGATTACATATGAATAATACTATTGCAAACTGACATCTTAAACATTTGTGCAAGAAACAGCCAGTCCCCAGAAGCAGCAGTTTCCATAACAGTCACATCATCCTGTGCCCAAGACCAGGAACAGAAGTTTTCTTATTGGACTGTGTCTGTGGATTAATTTATTCTTTGCTCTGGTTCTATCTACCTAGGCTCTGAGCTATCCAATATCATTTCAACACATGTGTAATATCCTTAAATCTTAAACTCAGAAGTCTAACCAGAACAATTAGCCAACACATACTCCTCCCTTTATTAAGTTTAAGCACATCTGAGCTAGGCTTTCTTTTACCTATAGCCATAAGCAATCTAACTGCTACAGTGATACTGGAAATAAATGTTAACACTGCTCAGAAGAAAAAAATACATATTCATATATGTATCCATATTTATATATATATATATATATACACACACACACCCAAAAATTAACAAAAGTTCTCTCCTATGGCAAAAGATCTGGGTAGAGGAACATTTGTCTTTTCATACATTTCAAAACTTCTTACACTAAGCAGGAATATAGTTTTTATAATCAGGCCTTTAAAAAATGGTAAACTGTTGAAGTCATTTTGGAAAACAATTCTGCATTATCTGATAAATTTGAAGATGAATGTGCCCTATGATCCCTAATTCCAATTTTAGGAATAAACAAACCCTAGAGCAGTGGTTTTCAATCCTGGCTATGCATTAAAATCACTTAGGGAACTTAAAAGTTTTAAAGTACAGTGGTAAACCAGTGATTAAGAGTACAGTTAGAACTGAGATTGGAAGAATGAGAAAACCAAACGGCAGATAGTGACTCTACTGTTTCTAATGAAACTCTTAGAGTTTACAGTCAAGAACACTTTAGGAACACAGGAATTGGGGGATGCAACTCAAAATCAGAACTCTAAAATCTTACAAGAGAAAAGGAGTGGAGTTGGGCATTGTCTACAGTAGATATGGATGCTCTTGAGGCTCAGATGGACTAGTAAGAATACAAAAGTACCCACAATGGCAGGCAGAGTCAGGGAATGGAAGATCCTAACAGCCCAGTGTAAAAAGGGCTCAACTTAAAAGGGTACTTGCTTCTCTTCACATCTACAATGCATCTTCTTTTCCAATTCTGCATACTAAATATTACTCATAAGAGAACAACTTTTTTGTATGAGTTTGCTAATGACAGGTGTGGACAAGCCAGAAAAGCATGGAGAAAAAGGAAAAAAATAATTTCAGGACATCTATTAAACAATCTATCTTACCATAAGCTTCTTCAATCAAAGCACAGTAAGGATTAATGCCAGTGCCATTCCTTTTGGCTTCTTGTTCTCCAAGCCTCAGGATATTTTCCAAGCCGTTTAGGGCAACCTGTACAATCTTAGAGTCCATGACTGTGAGGAGATCACAGAGTGGCTTGATACAGCCCAGTTCTACGAGGTACCTAAATTAATACAAAGAACAATTTAGTCAAACAAAGCTTTTCATTTCATAAAACTTTTATGAAATTGGTAGAAGGGAAATCCTCAAATTCACTGTAGAAATAAAAGGCACCCATTCAACCATACAACCTACATCTTGTCAAAAAAAAGCTACAAATAAATTAAAAAAAAAAAACAAGTTCTCTGGCACCATCACCATTCTTTTTTCCCTCCACAATTATTAGACTCGAAGAAACTGGAATACTCTCTTACTTTGACTATGAGTGATTCTTCAAAATAGTATACTTTTGATTAATTTCATTTTTGTTTCTATAGGTAACCACACCTCTGAAACAGGACACACTTGGTGCTAAAGCCAGCACAAGCCCAACAAGCCAATTCTACTGTGTACAAAGAACTCTTAAAACTCAAAGAAAACAAAAAAGAATTTAAGAATGGGTAAAAGATCTCAACAAAGATATACTGATGGCAAAAAAGCATACGAAAAGACACAATGTCATATGTCATTCAGGAACTGCAAATCAAAACAATGATGCCCCTACACATCTATTAAAATGGCTAAAATCCAAAACACTGACAATACCAAACACTGGTAAGGATGTGGAGAAACAACTCTCATTTTTTTTGCTGGTGGGAATGCAAAATACGATAACCACTTGGAAAGACAGCTTGGCAGGTTTTTGTTTTTGGTTTTTTAACAAAGCTTTCCATATGATCCAGCAATCACACTCCTAGACATTACCCAATTGAGATGAAAATTTATGTCCACACAAAAACCTGTACAAGAATTATTTACAGGAGCTTTATTCCTAACTGCCAAAAACTAGAAGCAACCAAAATGTCCTTCAATAGGTGACTGAATAAACTGTAGTGCATTCAGACAATGGAATATTATTCAGTGATAAAAAGAAATAAAATGAGCTATCAAGCCATGAAAAGATGTGAAGGAACCTTAAATGCATATTGCTAAGTGAAAGAAGCTAGTCTGAAAAGACTCCATACTATATGACACTCTGGAAAACAGAAAACTTTTATAAAGGCAATAGAATAGTGGTTGCCAGGGATTTGAGGGATGGAAGTAAGGGAGTAGTGATGAATAGGTGAAGCAGAGGGGATTTTTAGAGCAGTGAATAATACTACAATGGTGCAAACATTCATCAAAACCTGTAATTGTACAACACAAAGAATAATCCTTAATATAAAATATGAACTTAAGCTAATAATGTATCAGTACTGGTTCATTAACTATAACAAATGTAACCACACTAAAGCAAGATTTTACTAGAAGAAACTTAGAAGGGAGGGAAGTATACAGGAACTCTATTATCTAAATTTTTCTGTAAATCTAAAAAATGTTCTTTAAAAAGGCTTTATTTTTTAAAAAGTTTAATGTAATATTTAGCTTTATTATTTACAAAGGAATGAATTTAATAGTATTGTGTGTTATTTTATTTAAATATTTACTGACAATTTAGATGATATGTCCTAGGAATAGACTAGGTCAGTCATAAAGAGACTAGGTAAGGCATGAAGCCATTTCTGACCATTTCCCCTTTACACCACAGTTTTTAGTCACTAAAAACTGTTAACCATTCCTTCAACATATTTACATAATTCTCACTGTTTTTCTTAAAAAAAACAAAACCAAGCCTCTTTAGATTATAAATGTTAGTTGCTGCAAATCTGAAAAACATACAAAAGCATACAGAAAAATAAAAAATACCCAGAGATAACCACCACTACAACATCCCAGCTGTGCTACATACAAGCTGGATGACTTTGGACAAGTTATCTCATCTCTCTGTGCCTCAGTTTCCTCAACTGGAAAAGTCTGGGAATCAAAGACTAAGTCTGTCACTAAACCCCAGCAAAATTTTAGAGCAGTTAATTAAACAGATGACTTACATGTCTGCACTTAAACTTCACTGGCCTATATAGGTAAGTCTGTAGAACACCAACTGGATTTCAGAGATTTGTTCAGAATCTCCAAATTGTCTGCAAACTTGATCCTGGTCTATGCTTGATGTGATTTTCTCTCCCATCTAGAAATCTTGGCTCAATAACCTCTAATCCTTACATCGCTTTTAAAAACCTCATTTACTTTTGTAATACTGTCTGGTTTGAAACCTTTTTTTTTTTTTTTTTTTGGGGGTAGCGGGGCCTTTCCTTTTTTGTGGGGCACGAACCCGTGCCCCCTGCATCGGCAGGCGGACTCCCAACCACTGCGCCACCAGGGAAGCCCCTGTGAAACCTTTTATTATGAAAACCAGTGTTCTGAAAACTTGATTCAGAATTAAAAACAAATTTTAAGTTCTAGAAAGCTTCTAGAACTTGTATATAATTAAATGAATAAATACTGACTAAAACTTTCTTATTGAAAAACTCTACCCAAAAATGTGCTAATAAGGGCTTCCCTGGTGGTGCAGTGGTTTAGAGTCCGCCTGCCGATGCAGGGGACACAGGTTCGTGCCCCGGTCCGGGAAGATCCCACGTGCCGTGGAGCGGCTGGGCCCGTGAGCCATGGCCGCTGAGCCTGCGCGTCCGGAGCCTGTACTCCGCAACGGGAGAGGCCACAACAGTGAGAGGCCCGCGTACCGCAAAAAAAAAAAAAAAAAAAAAAAAAAAAAAAAAAGTGCTAATAAGTAAATCCAGAGTTTTGAAGATGTGAGGTTTTATATTTACAAAAATATGGTATTATTATTATTATGGCACAGTTCATTAAATGAGTTTTGGGTTCCCAATTCTAGCCACTTAAAAATTATACCGCCTTACAAGATTGGAGGAATTCAAGGTGCTGTTCTCTGATGCAACCACTCATCTTTGGAGATTTAAGACCACCACAGTGGTATTTCACTACTGATGCAAGTCTCTCCAAAGATAGTAATTTGCACCAAAAAGCAAAACAGGTCACCAGAGGACCTGGGCTGTATAGGAGTTGGAAAGTCATATTACTTTGAGAAAAGCACTACAAGAAGTATTTCCTTGGGAAAGTCTGAAGATTTGAAAAGATGACTGGAAAACAGGCACAATTCTATGGTTAAAGTCTGGAACTGGCTCCAATGGGTGGTGTATTTCAAACACTTGGATAAAGCTATCACTGGTCACTGACACTAGCTGGCTTTTGTGGCAGAAAAGGCTTCCATTAAGAAAATTTTCTGGGTAAGGAAATTTAGTCCATAAGAATTTACTATCTGGAAAAGTGAATTATATTTCTCAAATATTTCTTCTGATGAAAAACTCACTGTGTCTTAAACCACCTCTCTCGGGACTTCCCTGGTGGCGCAGTGGTTAAGAATCTGCCTGCCAATGCAGGGGGACATAGGTTCGAGCCCTGGTCCGGGAAGATCCCACGTGCTGTGGAGCAACTAAGCCCGTGCGCCACAACTGCTGAGCCTACACTCTAGAGCCCACAAGCCACAACTACTGAGCCCACATGCCACAACTACTGAAGCCCACGCGCCTAGAGCCCATGCTCCACAAGAGAGGCCACCACAATGAGAAGCCCACGCACCACAACAAAGAGTAGCCCCGGCTCACCCCGACTAGAGGAAGCCCGCACACAGCAACAAAGACCCAACGCAGCCAAAAATAAATAAATAAATAAAGCCAGCCCTCTCAAACAGGATTTTGCTTCTTCTGTGTCCTAATTTTTATCAACAGCACCACCTTTTTCTCTGGTCATCTTTGGCTCTTTCCTTTCCTTTGCAATCTGTTAACCTGCCACCAAGTACTACAGATCGTTATTTCCCATATCTAGTCCCATACCTCATGCTACAACACTTTTTTTTGCCACACCTGGCAGCATGCGGGATCTTAGCTGCCCGACCAGGAATCAAACCCGTGCCCTCTGCAGTGGAAGCATGGAGTCTTAACCACTGGACCACCAGGGAAGTCCCTACAGCTATTACCTTAATTCTGGCCATCACAGTATATACTAAACTACTGCAATGGCATCTTAATTGCTCTCTTTCCTCTCCTCAAAACACTATCTTCTTGGGACTTCCCTCCTTCCCAAGATTAAGGCCTTCATCCCAGTTTTCAAAGTCCATCAATTACTTAATTCCTCATCCTTGCACAAGAATAACCTATAGCAAGATTGATTTGCCTCTTCCAATAACATTTACTGTGCACATTCCCTCATGCTATTCTCTCTCCTCCAAAATTACCAAATCTCTACCCAAATGTCAAGTTTCATCTCTTTCATGAAACTTTAATTCCAGGCAACATTCTTTATCCTTCATTTTTAAGAACTGTAGTATGTATTAGCATTTGATTATATTTAACCTAAAATTATGAGTACTTCCTAGGTTATTCTAACTGGTTCTTGCATCTAAATCTTGTCTTCTCAACAATAAGCAGAAGCCACATAGATGTCTTTTATCAGTAATAAAGACATTTTCTACAATTTGGACTGTAATAGTTCTATAATAATCTTTCAAGATAACTCTTTACCCAGTTAAGAAAAAACTGCTAGGAGACTGATAATTAACTCTATTATTATAAATAGCTATGCTGAATTGTAAAAAGGGATAGTAGGCATTCCATTCCTCTCTAACAGAGCAAAATACCCCTGAATACTTTCTGATGAAAGATACCACAGTATTTTAAAATGTCTTTAAAATATGTACCTGTACAGTTTCACTATTTCAATTAAGAAAACATATTTGGTATAAAATATAGTGACAATAATTATAAATCTGAATTTGAACATAAGACAACTATCAACTGTTCTAATAACTTCTATATTACTGCCATCTGGTGGTGGCATACTTAAAAATCATAGTACCCCAGACTGAACTCTGGAGGTTAAAAAAGACCCAATCCCCTACAAATATGCTCTGAAGACCACTTGAAGTCCTCCTTGGCTAACCTATCCATGATGAACTTCACCAAAATAGCTACTGCATGTGTTAATCTATTTAAGTTGTATTATTTCAGGTACATACTTATTTTCCGTAATCTTATTTTCTGATGCGTTTCCGAAATCTTAGGACTACTTTAC